TTGCATACCAAGGAGGATTAATTTTAGCAGTAAGCATTTGAAAAAAAATATCTCAGAATCAGTTTCCAGAAAAAGAGTTTTTAGATCAAGAGAGACAGCAACTCTCAAAGCTATAATAACAGCAATAATTTCAGCCTCAATAGAAGAGGAAGCCATACAAGGAGAAGCAACAAAATAACAGCAATGCCCTTGATCATCCCTAAAAATCCCACCTACACCCTTGTACTCTCTAGCAAAACTCCCATCTACATTAATCTTAATCCTTCCGTGTGAGGGCGGTGCCCGTCTAACCAAGACGGGTGGCAGATTAATGTCGAATCATATAAGTTTTAAAAAAGAGTACAGACTTGAAAATTAAATTAATTTTATTATTGAAAATTATAAAATGAAGAAATATTTTTTTATATTTTCTAAAAATAAATAAGTAAAATGTCAAGTTTGTTTAATTTGCATTCATGCGTGAAATATTTTCTAATTTATCTTTGAAAATTGTTAAAATGAAATTTTTTGATCAAATTTAGATGAGAGTTATTAGATTTTTAAATTATTGAATTTGCTAAAATCTTGATTTATGTTGTGCTGATCTCGAATTAAGTATGATATTTTACGAAAATCTTAGATATTTAATGAGAATGTCTTCATAAATAATATTTGCTGATCTTTTCTTAGTGAAGTTGATAAATATACTATTCTATGAAACTTGCAAGCTTAGGTGGAAAAGCTTGCATGAATACCGAAGATCTTAGTGGAGGAGCTTGCCAAGGCCTTCCGACAGGCAAGTCTTATGTCATAATTTAGATGGATGCGGTTGATGAATACAATCTACATGCAGCTAGACTTTAAGTGTGTGACAACCCATTTAATATTTGGGCTTCCCTCATAATTTAGGAAGTTAACTTTTTAAATATAGGTACCAAATAATTGCTCCTAAAGGAGATGTTACATAAATAAGATTTGTAATTTTTTCTTATATGTCTACATCAATTATCATAGTCAGCTGTTCTTGATGATTACCAAGAGTTTATAACATTTTCTGTATCAAATTACATTTACTTAATAATTTGACTTTTATTCTTAAAATAGTTATAAAATTTGATTATGGATATTAATTGATCAATGATTAATAAAAATTAATCACTTTGAAAAGCAAGAGACGATAAATTAAAATGATATTCATCAAACATTATTGTGTTGAGATAAGCGTACAATAAATTGGATAAAAAAATTATCACAGTATGTTACGGTTAATTTAAATCTTTTAAGTAATTATTTTATATGCATTGACAGCATAAAATATAATTAATGGCACGAAATTTATAAAAATATGTCGTAATACAATGTTTTTAAGAGATTGGACAGCTATCTTTAAAATACTATAAATAAGAAAAGTAATATATCTTGTTTGAAAATAGAATTAACAAATTAAAACTTACATGAAAATATTTTAAATGCGCCTTTTGGTTTCTTGAAACTACTACCATTAAAATATTTGTATGACTCCTAATATTTTTCATGATTTTTATCCTATTTATAACTTGATCTATAGAATTATATTAATAACGTTTTAATTTCTTGATGATATTTAATAGTCTTCATTAAGTATTTTGCAGATCTCCAATTTGTATAGCGAGCAATTTTTATGTATTTGCATATCTGACACCTAAACCTTCATATTTAACTATTATTCTTAAGGTAATAACATTTTATCCAAATATTAAACTCTTAAAAATTACATTAAAATAACGGTTTTTAAGATCAACTTAACACTAATTATCTTTTATATGGCAACTTAGGTATTTATAAGTGTTTTACCTTTCTTGTAATTAATAAAATATTTGTTTTATAAAATAACTTTTTGTCATAACAAAAAATAATGCTATCTTAAATTGACTTAAGAAATTTAAATTCCAACAAAATTAGTTGGCTCGTATGATATATCTCTATCAACATAACTCAAAAAAATCATAAAAGTGATGGCTATATATATCAAGATAATGAAATTATAACCTTGAGATATAATGCAAGAGCAAATAATAAATAATTTTAATATTATCAGCAACCTCAAACTCCCTCAATATATTATTTCTAACTTAATTATAATTGTAGATAATTTTCCGCAAGCTTAAATTAATTACAAAAATAAAGTATTAGACTTTTTAAAAGAAAAGGAAATTTTTAAAATTCTTCCAATTGTTAAATGATAATAAAGAAATACTAAAAGATAACAAATAATAAAATTAGTAATTAACGACAAAATATCACACTTGAATGAGTAAATTATTTCTTCAAAACTATGCAAAAAGCGACCACTGCCGCACCAGCAGCAGCTATGAAAGGCGCAGCAGCAGAAATACGGTGAAACAAACTCTTTCTTTGTTTTCCATGCCTGCTTGCTTGCTCCATCGTTCCAATGTTCTCTTTTAACTCTGTCAACTCTTTCTCCTTCTCATCTTTTTCTTTGGTTAGAGCAAGCAGCTCTATTTTTTTCTCAGCATTGACCTCTCTAGCGACCGCCTCGATCTTCTTTCTTAAATTTTTTTCTCAGCATAGACCGCCATCTCCGCCGTTGCTCGAGAGGCAGTTTCGCGGAGGCTAGAGGAGACAACAAGCGCAAAGACATCACGTTGGATGTCGTGAAAAATATCTTTTTCGGCAACATGTGAAGTGAGCTGGATGTGAAGGCGCTTTATCTCTTGCCGGCACTGCACCGCCTCCTTCACGAGACAAGCATTCACAGTTTTGAGATTCTCTTATCCTTCTTGCCCGTTGGGAAGGGTACTGGATGGAGATTGAAAAGCTAGTTTTTTTTTCTTCTTTTGTGAAGTGAGCTACGAGGGTTTAGGATTAGGAGCACTCTGAGAATGGCGTATATTTATAGATGCATTTGGGGAATTATGATTTAGGGTTTTCAGCGATTAAACTGTGCGGGAGATTAGGGAGGAAGGTTAAGCTTCTTTATGCGGAATAAATAAAGAAAATTCCATTCTTTCAAAGCCCCGCCCCCTCAATCTTGGCCACTGCCATCCTTTCTGGCCTCCTCAGCTATTCCTCCGACTTCCCGTTGTATTTTTTTTCTTATTTTTCTACACAAATTGTTTGATTAATATATGCTAGGGATGTTAAGTGAATCCAGTCGTCTCTTAAGTCGACTCAAGCTCAACTTGACTTGTGGCCCATGAACTGAGCTAGAGAAGCTAAGCTCGTGCCATGCCCAATTCAGACTCGTTAGCTTCTTAGCCATCCCCTTTAAAAAAATATTAATATAAAATATTCTAAAAATATATTAAATTTTGAAGTATTTATCTTTAAGGTTATAAAAATATTTAAAAAATATTTTTTTTTATTGTATATTAGTAGATTTCTTATTGTTTATCTATTAATTGCTCATTCTATTTATTATATTATTATAAATCTAATTTAAATTAATATTATTCTCTCTCTTTTATATTAAACAAGTCGGTGATTCGATCTCATAGACTTAAACTCGAGCTCGATGAATTTAATCAAGCTCCAACTCACCGAGGGTGGCTCAAACTCGACTTGACTCGCTTTCACCTCTAACGTACTATTTACACATATAGGATTCAAATCCTTAATATGATATTAAAGTAGCATTGTATTCTTTTTAAATGTAAAGTTTATTTTTTCTTGCAAAAATTTAAACACTAAAATGCTATCTAAATATAATATTTTAGGTGTGAGATATATAATTTCTATTAAATAAAATTAAGAAATTAATGCTACAGGATATTTATATATTTCTCAAGTAATGACCTACTAATTAATATTCAACTCATATAAAGTTAAATAGTTTTTACAAATCCAAAAATTATAAAGAAGAAAAACTTATATACATAAAATTAAATTTACATAAAAAATAATCATATTAATTCAAAGGTTATAAAATATTAAAAAAAAATTATTGTATATTAGTAGATCTCTTCATATTTATCTCTTAATTGAGCATAGATTTTAAAATTATAAAACTTGTTGCAAGGAACGAGTGGTGACCAATAGCGATCAGTGGCAGCCAATAGTGATGGTTGACAATGGTCGGCGGTTGTAGACGGCAGCAGGGGTGATGCTAGACCTGACCTCCTTCTCAATGCTTCTCTCAATCTTCAAATTCTCCTCCTTCAGACTTCGAGTTCTCCTCCCCCTCATGGGAGGGATGAGATTCTTTTTATAGAGTTTCGGTGCAATTAATGCTGGAATATAAACCACTTTAATTTAATAGTCCAAAAAACTTCCTTTGATCTGACGGTGTTTGAGGGACATCTGAGTGTATTAATGATGTTTGAATTGAGCGATCTTGAGTTCGTTGGAATCTTTTTTTCAAGACGCTTGATTCACCTATAATATTGTCAGATTCGACATTCATTAGATCTCCCAAATATGCTCGAAATGCATAAAAAGTGGTTTAATGGCTTGATCTGAGTTTGATTTGACTTTGATTAGTTCAATTTTAGTATCATTGGATCTGTCTCATCGAGCCAGTCAATTTAACTGTAAGATTGCTAAAATTGGAGCTCTAGATGACTCTTGATTAAAGTTTAGATGTTTCTTGCTCAAAATATTACATCGAGATTCGTGTCAGATGATGAAAATTTATTAAAATCGTATCAAGCAGTAACATTAATTTCTTATTTAAGAAAATTTATCTTACACCTAAAATATTATATTTATTTAGATAATGTTTTCGAGTTTTAAAATTATGCATGGAAAAATAAATTTAACTTCAAAAAATGATAAAATGTTACTCATCTAAAAATGGTGAGTGCAGAAGAATTATCCGACAAGAGATAAAGCGCCTCCACATCCAGCTCACTTCACTGGTTGCCGAAAAAGACATTTTTTCACGACATTATTAATCAAATAATTTGTATTGAAAAATATTAAAATTATATATAACGGAATGGACGGAATGGCGGAGGATTTGAATTTCTTTATTTCGCTCAAGAAACTTAACCTTCCTTCCTAATTCAAGATTCCTCAATTTCATCTATAAATAAACGCCAATTTCAGAGTAGTCCTAACCCTAAATCCTCATAGCTCGCTTCAGAAAAGAAGAAAAAAAACTAGTTTTTCAATCCCCATCCACTACTCTCCCCAATGGGCAAGAAGGATATAATCGCCTCCAAGAAGAAGCCAATCTATGAAGCTTCAAAAAAATCAAGTAATAGCCGTCTGATGGAGAATCTCAAAACTGTGAATGTTTGTCTCGTGAAGGAGGCAGCGGAGTGCCAACAAGAGATAAAGCGCCTCCACATCCAGCTCACTTCACTGGTTGCTGATAAAGACATTTTTCACGACATCCAACGTGATGTCTTTGCCCTTGTCGTCTCCTCTAGCCTCAGCGAATCTGCCTCTCGCGCAACGGCCGAGATGGCCGCAGCTTCAGATAGAGAGAAAATTTTGAGAAAGAAGATAAGTCAATGCTGAGGAAATAGAGCTGCTTGCTCTAGCCAAACAAAAAGATGAGAAACAGAAAGAGTTGACAGAGTTAAAAGATAGCATTGGATTCATGGAACAAGCAAACAAGCGTGAAAGACGAAGAAGGAATTTTTTTTGCAGTTTTGTCGTCGTCACGCCTTTCATAGCTTTTCTTGGTGCAGTGCTGATGATTTTTTGTATAATTTTTTAAAAATAATTTACCGATTAGAGTGTGATGTTTTGTCATTAATTGTTAATTTTTATTCTTATTATCTTGTAGAAGTTCTTTATTATCATTTATCAATTGAAATAAATTTTTTTTTTGATGTGGGAAAGTCATTTATTTTTAAGGCTTCTTTTTCTTTCAAGAAAAAAAATATATATTTTATTATTGTAATTAATTTGAACTCCAGGAAAATTACCTAAACCCTCTAAAAATTATTTATCATTTGCTCTTCAATTATTTCATTATTTTGATCCATATTCTTATCACTTTTTAGATTTTCTTGAGTTGTGTTGGTGGAGATAAATCATAATATACCTCACCAACTAATTTTGTTTGAATCTAAATTTTTTAAATATATTTAATATAACATTATTTTTCTTGTGGCAACAAGTTATTTTATAAATAAAATATTTATTAATTACGAGAATAACAAAGCACTTATAAATTATTAATCTGCATACAAAAGATAATTAGTTTTAAGTTTATCATAAAAACCGTATTTTTAATGTGGTCTCAGAGTTTTATATTTGGATAAAAAAAATTTATTTCCTTCAAATTTTAAGTTAAATATGAAAGTTTAGGGGTATGATATGCAAATACGTAAAAATTATATGCTACATATATAAATTTCCCATGATAAAATTGCATTTAAACCCTCTTTTAGATTTTATATCAATCAATTCTATTTGCTTGTCACTGTTTGTTTTCCTTCATTTATACTATATAATTCTTTCATATCACATCAAAAGATGCCAACTAGTGGGATAATAAATGATTATTATTTCAGTTATATTAACATTATACAATACTATATTGTTCACATTCATCTTTTAAAAAGTTTGTTTTTTACTATTAGCGTCCACACACACACATTTTTTTCAGAGATTTTATGATTATGATTATTATAATATTCACCATCTATTTATTTTGGTATAAAGATGGAAGAGATCTTTGAACATAATGAAGAACATTAATCTAATATGTTTGATTTTGAGAATTGTATGAAAATGGTTCAATTTTTTTAGGCAACTACTATCATTGCAACAATGATGATTGCATTTTTGTACAAGCTTGGGATAGAAAGAAAAAATTACAATCCTAGATGGAATATATAACATTAATATATTTATTGATATTATACCATGGAATTGATTCTGCTTGCAATGATATTGTTCGAATGAAAAGAGCACATTGTTTAACATTATCAAATGTGATGCGAAAAAGAATATTACTTTTGGACACATTTATTGTAAGAATTGAGAAACAAGCTGTTATATTATTGCATAAATTAGGACACATTATTCGTAATCGAGTCATCAAATTCAGTTTTTATTTTTTTTGGGGAAACTATCAGTAGGTACTTGAACACTGCATTGCAAGTCATGGGAGTGTTGTGAGATATACACCAGTTGTTGATGTAGTATATACATAAATCAAACAGAAGAACAATAAACAAAGCGAAAAAATAGAACGAGAAAATTCACACCAGAAAACAATAACACAGCGGAATACACAGATTGACGTGGTTCAGCAAATTGCGTACGTCCACATAGTTGCAGAGGATTTTACTACTCGAGGAATTTACATTACTCGATCGCTCGACTTACAAGAGGGACCTCTCACTTAATTCCTCTCTCTTTTTCTCTCTATGTTCTTCTCCTCTACAGCGAGATACACCGAAAAAACTCTACACCAAGATACACCGAAGAAGACAAACTTACAAAAGAAATAAACTCAATTTCTCTTCTGCACAAGCCACCAAAAAGAAGTCAATGGAGAACAATTTTCTTCTTCTTCTTTCTTCTTCCTTCACCGCAAGGAACTGCTTCTTGCACTTTCCTTCCTCTATCTCGAGAAAACCGAAGAAGAACACCAAAATCGTGGCTTTTTTCAACTAAAGGAGAGCCACCTTGCGATGCCTTTTATCACGAACAGGAAGGAGCAAAGGGATGCTTCGCTTCCCGTCAAAGAAAGGCGGAATGGTTCGCAAAACCGTAAGGTCACGGTCACAACCTTTTGTGATCAAAACAGGGAGGCGGGAGCGGGATCGATATCACGCCGATTTGCGACTTCGCTTCGCATGTGCACGGGAGTAGGCGGAGGCGCGATCTTCTATTGGGCTCCAGCGCTAACAGGGAGAAGTACATCATGAAATGGTTCAGCGTCCAAAGCTTCTAACTCCCTTAAAGATTAGATGAAATAATATGTCCATGCCTTATTTATAAAGATAAGATCAAATAATATGTCCATGCCTTAAAGATAAGATCAAATGATATTGATGGCACTATTTCCTCATACCGTGCAACAAGATATCAGTTGAAGGAATTCAATTATAGTCAACCATCAAATTATAAATAATTATTTAATCTCCGCCACTCGTCATTGTGTACTACAATGGAGCGTGTAATTGGTTTATTGAAGAATCACTTTACAAATTTGAAGTCAGAGTTTTGTTTTCCATTACAAACTTAATTTGACATTGTGCTAATTTGTTATGTTCTGCACAATTGGATAATTACCGAAGGTGGTGGTGAGTTTATTCTCTCTGAAGATGCGTGGGAAGAAAGAAGTCACCATAGAAGGAGAATTCTATCAAGTTTAGATTGCTCTCAGGATTAGTTGGACAAATAGAATAAAATTGCTAATATCAAGTGGAATCACATGATTAATGAGGGGGTGTTAACAATCATTTTTTAGATCAGAGTTTCTACTTGCATTTTCAATAGATAATGAAGTCGTTTTTTGTGTTGGTTGTTTATGGAAGAAGAGCTTTCCATAATATTTGCAAAAAAAAAAAATTATTCTAGTTTGTGTCTTTTTAATTGTTAGTCTACTTCAATGCTATGTGTTTTACCTTCCGTTTTAGCTCTTAACTTATATGCATTAAGGGGATGATTTACGTTTATAACAATTAAAATTGTCAAATTCATTTTTTTTTTTTAATTCCAAATCTGAATTTCTTATTGTCTTCTTTTCTCATATGTAAGACTTTGTGGAATTTCATTGATTTTTTTTATTATCTTATTTTCACGATGATGTATAAAACCTATAACTCCCATCATTTTTTGTAGGTGTTTTCACATGGAGTCCCTACAACCAATTAATCCTTCTTCTTCCAAAACTAGTTAGAAAATGAAACATATTTATTGAAGATTAAAGTCAGAATGGATAGCAGTTTTACTTCATATTCTATTAGATATTTGATAGGACATGAGAATTAAGTGTCACATATTTAGGTATTTCTTTAAGGAAATTATTATTTTATTGGTATTCATCTTAATAATGACTAATTATTTTTTAATTGTAGGCTTTCTCAAAAGATATTGCTTATCTCAATATGTCATTTAGAAATTATATGGAGTTGGAGAAAGTTTGTAGTGAAGGTCACAATACTTGAGATTGTGCTAATTAGGAGAATTTTAATATTCCAATTATGTTACAACAAATTAACTTGGAAGACGATGACTTCTTAAGTTTTATTGACATCATTGCTGATGCAACACAAGCTACTAATATTGTAGATATTGATATCAAAGAAGTTGTCATAGGAAAGATAAATCGATAAATGCCATCAGCTTCAAGAAGAGTGCCCCACAAGAGAAGAAGAAAGTGTCTGAGGTTGATCAAAGTTTCTATAAGTACATTATTATGATGACAGATTGTGTTGGGAAGGTTGCTACTGCAATCGAAAGCACAACAATAGAGATTAAGGAAAAAAAAGTTATTTACATAACTTATAAGAAAGCTTTCGAACATTATTGGTTTCTCTGATGAAGATATTGATGTTATATATGAAAACTTATACAAGAATCCTAGAATGATCCATTCATTCTTTTCCAAAGCTTTGGTTAGACGAGCCAGATTTATTAGTGGATTTGTTACTCTAACTATTTAATATTTTGAATTTTCTGAATATCATTTTGATCTCGATGATTGTATTGTCTTATTCGTAGGACTTTACGTTTTGAAAGCATTTCCTTTATTTTGAACATCTTTGTTTTTCATATTTTGATGACTGTATCATTATTAATAGATGAAGTCAAACTAAATGGGTTGATTCTCAAGGTTATTGCATGTTGGTATATCTTCGTCATCTTCTTTTCGTTTCTTCTTTTTTTTTTTGGTGTGTTTTATTGTTAACATGATTTGGCGTTTATTCATAGAAAGGTGTATATTCTGGTTTTGTGAGTTTCTTAAATTTTTATTGTCATATTTATTTATTGGAATAAATTTTTGATGTCACATACATGAGATGTTCGCTTGAATGATACAAGACTTTGCTCAATCTTCTGTAGTCCAAAATATCCGATAGAACTTCCTGATACGTGCCTAGAGTGCGAAATCAATATTGGTACTGATTCAGCCCTACCTGTGAGAGTTCATCGTTGGGTAGAATCAATATTAATACAACATACATATTTTGATTATTATGATGTTTAGAGTCTTCCGTGCCCAAGGTAAGTCATAAAACTCTTCCACGTGCATTTCAAGAAAATTTTGTTTCAGTCCAAGGCTCTCGTCAATACTCAAATCTTCAGATAAAAACCTTTGAAATGCTCATTCTTAAGTTACAAGATCTTATTTTAGCGATACATGGCTTCCCGTTGATTTCAGATCAGTGAAAACCTTCCTATGGATATTAGAGTACAAAATTTAGTTGCAGATCGTTCGAGTTATACCTGTCCCTGGGAGGCAATATTCATCTGATACGACACACCCTTTATGTCGACATAAATGTGATCAAACTTATTTTTATCCCTACATATTCTCCGGAGTTTCGAAAACCCATATAGCACTTTAGTGTGAGCATTTAGGAGAATCAGGGTTCAGTGTGTTGCACTTGTGCAACAGTTTCGGTGACACTTCTCGTTAAATGGTGTGCTACGCTAAGGCTAGGATGCCAAGTAGTATTTTTTTATGTTTGGTTATAGTTCTCTGCTGGATTGGTTGCCTAGTATGCGTTGTTTTGTTTGTGCTTTTATGTGTTTACTGAGTTTGGACATGTGCAATTGTATATTAGGTTTTTCTTATAGGGAGTCGTGTCTGAATATATACACACAAAGGTTTAATAAGGGTGAAGCAATGTTATGATTTCATTCCACTCATTCTTGCAGGCGTTGTTATATGCTCCTTCGGTTAGATACGACTCATGTGTGTTGCATCTTACCCAGTGTTAACATTTTCTACAGGTCGAGTCCTTTATTTTTATTTTATCATGTTTTTGATAGAGTCCTATGATCGATTATGTATTAGAAATAAAGTACGTGCACGTGTTTTGAGGAGGATGACACGTCAAACCACGTGATGAGGACCATGAACAGTAGCTCATGTTTTGTACCTTAAGTTTGAATTTGTACTTATATTTAGAATTAAGACAGAACGTGTATATGCCGAGTTCAACAACTTTTACTACTTTCTGGGAGATGTTACCAACCTAGCGGCACCGACCTTTCTCTGGTAATTTAGGTGTGCTTTTACTTTGTCTATGACATGATTGGGTGCTTGAAATTATTTTCTTCTTGTTATATTTTGTGGTCTGTCTCGGATTAATTACAAAAAATAATCTAGGTTCATTATGGAGCTTAAAATTTTATATCTTCTATAAAGTCTTAATAAATAAAATATTAAAACTAACATTATGAATTTTTCAAAACTCGCACTTTATTTTCTTTATGGCCATCTGGTTTGATTTTAAATGGGTTGCATAAATGACTATACAACCCGTCATAATTAATAGCCCATCACGCCATAGGATTGTGGTAGACAACTACATCATATTCATATACCCGAGGAGAAGTCTCCCAAGTTACAATGTTGATGTACGAATGAATTTGTTGCAAGAAATGTACGGCGACCAATAGCGATTGGTGGCAGCTAACAGGTCGTGATTGACAGTGGTTGACGGTGGTCGACGGGGACAAGAGTGGTGCTGGACCTTAGCTCCTTCTCAAAGCTCCAAGCTTTTTCTCTAGCCTCAAGTTCTCCTTCCGACTTCTAGCTCTCGTTCGCCTCATGAGAGAGATGAGGCTCTATTTATAGTGTTTCGGTGCAATTAATACTGAAATATAAACTATTTTGATTGGACGGTCCAAAGAGCTTCATTAGGTCTGATGGTGTTTGATGTACATCTAAGTGTCTTAATTATGTCTGAATTGAGCGATGTTAGGTTTGTTGGATTTTTCCTTGTCGAGATGCTTGATTCGATAATAATCATGTCAGATTCGACATTCATTTGACCTCTCAAATATGCTCAGAAACTTTCAAAGGTGGTTTAATGGTTTGATCTGAGCTTGGTTTGACTTGGATTACATTAATTTTGGTATCATCGGCTTTGTCTCATCGAACCGGTTAGTTTGACTATAAGTTTGCTAAAATCGGAGCTCTGGATGAATTTTTAGCAAGATTTGAATGTTTCATGCTTAAAATATCGTCTTGATATTCGTGTCATGCCTCCAGATGATGAAAATTTGTTAAAGTCATATCAAACACTAACATTAATTTTTTTATTTTTTAAAAGAAAATTTTTATATCTCACGCCTAAAATATTATATTTATTTACATAGTATTTCAGTGTTTTAAATTTATGCATGGAAAAATTTTTCTCTTAAAAATGATAAAATACAGAAGAATTGTCTCCTATTTATTTTCATTAATGTCTGTTCTGTCTTTTTCCTTTTTTTTGTTTGGATGAAAACATTTAAGTGTTTTTTTATATTATTTTAGCTAAACATCGACTAGCGGCGTATTTAACGCTCATAATCTTATATTAATAAAAAATTTTGTATAGAAAAATATTAAATATATATGTAACAGAGAGGCGACGGAATAGCGGATCAAGTAACAGAAGCCGAAAAGATAGAGCATAGAGAACTGAATTTTCTTTATTTATTTTGCTCAAAAGGCTTAACCATCCTTCCTAATCGTTCGCCCCTCCAATTTCTCCGCCACAGTCCCACATTAAACCTAATTCAAAATTTCTCAAATTTATCTATAAATAAATGCCATTCTCAGAGTGCTCCTAACCCTAAACCCTCGTAGCTCACTTCAGAAAAGAAGAAAAAAAACTAGCCTTTCAATACCCATCCACTACTCTCTATAAATAAACGTCATTCTCAGAGTGCTCCTAACCCTAAACCCTCGTAGCTCACTTCAGAAAAGAAGAAAAAAAACTAGCCTTTCAATACCCATCCACTACTCTCCCCAATGGGCAAGAAGGATAAAATCGCTGCCAAGAAGAAGCCGATCTCTAAAGCTTCGGGAAAATCAAGTAATAGTCGTCTGATAGAGAATCTCAAAACTGTGAATGCTTGTCTCATGAAGGAGGCGATGCAGTGCCGGCAAGAGGTGAAACACCTCCACATCCAGCTTACTTCACAGGTTGCCGAAAAAGATATTTTTCACAACATCCAAAATGATGTATTTGCACTTGTTGTCTCATCTAGCATCAACGAAACTGCCTCTCGTGCAACGGCGGAGATAGTCGCAGCTTCAGATAGAGAGAAAAATTTAAGAAAGAAGATTGAGGCGGTCGCTATGGAGGTCGATGTTGGGAAAAAAGAGCTGCTTGCTCTAGCCAAAGAAAAAGATCAGAGAGAGAAAGAGTTGGTGGAGTTAAAAGAAAGCATTAGATCGATGGAGCAACCGAACGAGCATGGAAGACAAAGAAAGAATTTGTTTCGTCGTGTTGCTGCGGCTGCGCCTTTCATAGCTGCTGCCGGTGCGGTAGTTGTGGCTTTTTGCATAATTTTGAAGAAATAATTTTCTCATTCGAGTGTGATGTTTTATCGTTAATTACTAATTTTATTCTTTATTATCTTTTAGTATTTCTTTATTAACATTTGTATATTTGATGGATTTTATTTTTTATGTGGGAAAGTAATTTATTTTTAAAATTTCTTTTTCTTCTTAAAAAAGTCAAATATTTAATTATTCTAATTCATTTAACCTTGAGGAAAATTTTCTTATGATTATTATTAAGCTAGAAATAATATATAGAGAGAGTTTGATGTTGTTGACAATCTAAAAATTATTTACCATTTGCTCTTGCATTATATCTTTTTTTAAAACTTAATAATATGTATGTATCTTCATGTTTATAATTTCATTATTTTGATCTATATACGTATCACTTGTTAGATTTTTTTCAGTTATGTTGGTGGAGACATATCATAAATATATCGGACCAGCTAATTTTGTTGGAGTTTGAATTTCATAAACCATTTTAAGATAGCATTATTTTTTATTGTGACAAAAAGTTATTTTATAAATCAAATATTTTATTAATTACAAGAATGGTAAAACACTTATAAATAACTAAGTTGCCATATAAAAGATAATAAGTGTCAAGTTGATCTTAAAAACCATATTTTTAATGTAATTTTTGAGAGTTTAATATTTGGATAAAAAGTTATTTCCTTAAAAATAAAATTTAAATATGAAAGTTTAGGTGTTGAGAAGATGCTTAAGAAATTATTAAATAAAAGTAATTTAATATCAGAGATGTTAAATATTTGATTATCAAGAACCGTGGACTACGATAATTGAAGCAGAAATACAAGCAAACATAACAAATCTCATTTAAGTAACGTCTCCTTTATATGATGCGAAAAAGAATATTACTTTTGGACACATTTAATATAAGAATTGAGAACCAAGTTATTATATTATTGTATTAATTAGGACACATCATCAAATTCAATTTTTATTTTTTTGGGGGAAACTGTCGGTAAGTACTTGAACGCTGCATTGCAAATCATTGGAGAACTACATCATGAAATGGTTCAGCGTCCAAAACCTCAAACTCCCTTAAAGATAAGATCAAATAATATGTCCATGCCTTATTTTTAAGTGGAATATCATTTTTTATTAATTGTTAGGAGATATAGGAAATAACGT